AACAACAAAATAGCAAATAAGAATCAAATTAAAATGTAGAGAAATTATAAGAGGCCGTAATTGTGTTTACATGTAAAAACAAAATCTATTATAACGTAACATAAACTCTTACAAGAATAACTATTCGATACATTATTTTGCTACTGTTTATAATAAAGAATGACAAAAAAAAATGTAAATTTCAAATCAAACAGCACATAAATTTGAGAATGGAAATGGGGAATGTGTCAAAGAGACAACAACCCGACCATAGAGCAGACAACAGCCGAAGGCCATCAATGGGTCTTCAGTGCAGCGAGAAACTCCCGCACCCGGAAGCGTCCTTCAGCTGGCCCCTAAACAAATATGTATACTAGTTCAGTGATAATGGACGTCATACTAAACTCCAAATTATACACAAGAAACTAAAATTAAAAATGATACAAGACTAACAAAGGCCAGAGGCTCCTGACTTGGGACAGGCGCAAAAATGCGGCGGGGTTAAACATGTTTTTGAGATCTCAACCCTCCCACTATACCTCTAGCAAATATAGAAAAAACAAACGTACAACAGTACGCACAGTAAAACTCAGTTTAAGAGAAGTCCGAGTCCGATGTCAGAATAGGAAACAAAAGAAAAAAAACAAAATAACAATAATACATAAATAACAACAGACTACTAGCAGTTACTGACATGCCAGCTCCAGACCTCAATTAAACTGATTGAAAGATTGTGTCTTCATCATATGAATATCAGGCACAATCCCTCCTGTTAGGGGTTTAGTATTATACCATCATAAAATATATGAGAAGAACATAACCCGTGTCATGCCAACAACTGGTTTTAGAATAAATATGTTTAATTCCGATGCAAAGACCCTATAAGTGCATCAATATTAAAGCCAAAATATGCAATCTTTAATGACCTGACAACAGTATCGTAACTATATCCCTTCTTAATAAGTCTGTTTAAAGGTTTTGTTAGCTTTTGAGGCGAATACTGACATTTTTGTGCTTTGTAAAGAATATTACAATAAAAGATTGGATGTGAAATACCCGAACGTATAAGATGTCTGCATGTTGAGTTATATTTACGAATGATGTCCTTATACCGATGATAAAATTTAGTAAATGTTTTGACTAGTTTATGATATCGAAAACCCTGGTGTAATATTTTTTCAGTAATACATAAATTTCTCTCGCTAAAATCTAATACGTTGTTACATACACGAGCGAATAGTACAAGTTGAGATATATAAACACCATAAGATGGTGACAAGGAAACGTCACCATCTAAAAATGGATAATCAACAATAGGAAATGAAAAATCATCTCTTTTATCATAAATTTTTGTATTAAGCTTCCCGTTAATGATATAGATATCAAGATCGAGGAAAGGACAGTGGTCATTGTTAGTATTAGCTTTATTTAAAGTAAGTTCAACAGGACAAATTTCTTTAGTATACATACTGAAGTCGTCATTATTGAGAGACATTTATATCATCCACGTATCTAAAAGTATTGTTCAGATGTTGTTTCAATGGGTCTTTGCTGATTTTAGTTATAAATTGTAACTCTTAACAATATAAAAACAGGTCCGCAATAAGTGGTGCACAGTTAGTCCCCATTGGAATTCCGATAACTTGACGATATACGGAATCTCCAAAGCGAACAAAAATGTTATCAAGTAAAAAATTCAAGGGCAGATATAGTATCAAAGCATGTCCAATTGACATAGCTAATTTGTTTGATGCTACTAAAAAATGACCTAAAAGAGTTTGAACATATGTATTCGCATTCCGACTTTTTAAATGCCCATTTAATTAGGTGTGTGAATTTTTTCTTAATAAGAATATGAGGCAAAGTGGTATATAGGGTAGAAAAATCAAAACTTTGAACAGATTCAAAATCACCAATATATGCATGCAATTTATCAAGTACTTCCAACGAGTTTTTGACACTCCAAAAGTAGTTAATTCCACTATTTTCAAAGGCCTTATTTGAACAATTTATTATCAGGTTTTTGATTGTACCAAGTGTACTAGTAAGTAGAATAGACAATTTAGTAGTGGAACAATGACTTGAAGACGAAATAAATCTATATTTGTAAGGTGATTTGTGTAGCTTCGGAAGCCAGTACATAGTTGGGACTTTCATTGTATTTGGTTCTGCTTGTAAAGAAGTAGCTAATAGTTTATGTTTGTTACAGATATCGTTTTCTGAAAATGAAGTCAGTTGGAATGTTGGTGAATTCGTGATTTCCTTTTGCAGAACCTCAATGTAAAATTTACGTCAAACTATAATGATACTATTAGCAGCTTTATCAGCCGGGACAAAAACAAATTCCTTGGCTAGTTCTTTTAGTTTATGTTTGATACGAGAAATAGGATTTTTATGGTTGTTGTTAAGAGTAAAATGTTCTTTAAAATGTTGTATACGTATATCAACTATCTTCATTACTGAATCAAAAAAAGAGTCCAAAGATTTTTTTGTCAGCTTTTTCCCGTTTTATCCATTTCAAACAGTAAGCACGAAGTGAGTCGTGGATGATATTACGACACTCATTCCAATTAATAATTGACGGGGGACGATATTTAGGTCCTTTAATGAGGAATGATTTTAACTCTCGGTCGCGAACGATGTTAAGGTCTCCTGTTATAACATGGGAAATGGGGCCATAAGTGTATTCGGAATTACTACAATTATAGAATAGAATAGAATAGAATTTTTATTAATCTAATCAAGAACCCATAAAGGGCATCATTTACAATATTAAGCACAATATGATTGGAAAAAAGAAAAACTAGATCCTAATATAATACTATCATATTATGGACAGGATCAGAGCCTAACACATCATGTGTCTTACATAACTATAACAATAATTTCATAATAATTAAATATTATTTTATATATTTTGTATCCACCTGGATCTTATTTCTAAACACTTAATTATATAATTGCCTAGGCACATAAGAGTTGGTAAATGCTCATTTGTGAACAGCCAGAAATATTTTTTATCCTTGGGTAATTCTTTAAAATTATTACAAAAACTGTTTACTTTATTCCATAAAAATTTTCTCTGTTCGTTATATAAAGGACAACTTACTGTGAAATGGGTCTCATCTTCAATAGAATTTGATCCATGTGATAGGCAGTGATGACATAGACGCTGACTTCTCTCTATGTATTTTTTACTATATCTATCTTTCTCAATTTTAAGATCATGTGCACTTATTCTCAATTTACATATAGCTCTTCTTATATTAAAATCTTTAATTGATAAATAAGCCTCCTTTACGAAGTCAGTCTTGAGGTTGAAATAATTTTCTAATTTACTATTACCTTGTGATAAGGTATCAGATCTTTTGACCACCCAAAAATGTTTTAAAACTGTTACAAAGTTTACATTTTACAAATTTAATTAATTTATTGAGCTTTGTATTCAAATTTTGTATATCAAGTGATTGAAGGACATATCTCATAGATGAATACCAACAATTAATGTTTCCTGCATCTAAAATTTTATTACAAACATAAGCATCATAAAGTAACCCATCGTCCAATTTGTTAAGCCTGTGTACATATTTTACCATAGATATAATGACAGAAAAATAAAGAGGAAATCTTGCAACCTCTGATAACACTGCCAAATTTGAGGCTTTTTTATTTACACCAAGAATATATTTTAGATATCTGAAATGTGATTTTTCCAAATAACCATTTATGTAAATTAATTCAAATAGATAATCACTTTTTTTCTTGCAAGCAGCAGAGTTAATCTTAAAGGTACCCCAGATTTCACTACAATATAATAAAATTGGTTTTATTGTGTGATCATATAAATGGATTGCAGTATCAATACTTGGATTACAAGCTGACATGGAAATTACATGACGGAAGTGTATTTTCACTGATATTTACATCTTTACAGACTTGGCTATAATTAAACACAAATTTTCGGGTAGATTTCTTGTAAATATAACAAATAAGAGGGAGTTCAGTATTATCAAAAAATCCAGGAATTTGTTCTTTAACAGAATGGTCGTTAAAAATACCGGCAATATTTACAAAACCTTTATTGGGGGCAGACATACTTTATTTTAATAAAATGTTTTTTATGATCTTCAGGGCGATCAATTTTGGGAAACAGTTTAGAATAACAATATGCCATTATAATTTGAACGATTTCAAACTTAGGACTGCAATATGAAATTGTGTTGCAATCCTCTAAAATTTTATTTAATTTATTTATAGGTAAAGAACAGAGCTTGGTTAATAGATAATGTCTGCCGTTGTTTTTTGAAATAGAAATTAGGTCCGAAATATTTGTATGGTTGCACATGTATTATTAGACGTTGTCAATTTTTCTTCGACCCCTTGGTATCTTCGTAATTTCTTATGTCTTTTTAATTTTTTTTTTTTTTTTTTTTTTTTTTTTTTTTTTTGTTATTGGAGAATTAAGTTTTAAAGGCAGATATTTTTATATTTCTGTTAAATGTGTACACAACTTGAAAAGACTAGGGAAGATTTAGAGCTTGGCATATTATATAGACACCTGTCTGTTGTCAACGACTACACGTGTTGCCCTCTACATGCTCTAGATGTCTTCTGTTCGTTCGGTTTTTTTTGTTTTTTTTTTTTGCATTTGGTTCTATCTTATTGACGCATACACTAATAAACTAAAAATAAATGCGTTTAATCCTTATTATATATATTCTTATATTTCGTTTTTTTCAACAATCGTCGGTTGCAAATAATGTTAACATGTTTGTATGTGCGTAAACAATACCGGAAGCTAGTGTAACCTTATGTGATCTTAAATTTTTAAATTATATATAAAGAATTATTTAGGTATAATGTAACAAATATTTCGTGGCCATTTGACCGCTAATGCACCGTTGAGGTTTGGTCTTTTACCAAAATACATATGTTCAATATTACTTCCAATTTGATTTACCTTGAAGTCATTAACTGACAAAATTATATATCTAATTCTAAAAATGACATCGGTGTTTCCCCGATCTTATTCTTTTTATGGACTACTATTTTGGGTCATGACTTAGTTCTTTGGAAATTTCATACAAATGGCGACAAAACGATTGAACAAGGTAAATATCAAATTACACAGTAAACGAAATCAAATTTTTATATCAGTATTTTTACAAGCTACAGAAAAAACCCAGAAAACTACAAAAAAACACGAACTTACAATTATTTTTAATCATGCATGTTATATATATAACACTATCTTATGAAATATATGGTATGTCTTGTATTTTCATTATTCTTGAGATGTATTATGTACTGTGTTATTTTGTTAACTTCATGTTTGCCATCAACGCCATTGAGGTATAACTGTGCACTTAATTTGAATCAGTAAAGATATAGTTTTATGAAATACAGTTAGATTCTTACTGGAAGTAAGTGCAGACGCTACTTAAATACCATATTTATATAACCCCAAAAATGGCACAGGTAAAGGAAATGTCTTTTTTCATTTGTTTTGTGGTTTGATTCATGAAAATCCCATTTTAACCAGGGAAGAAGAAAAAAATATAGACAATAAAAACACTTCCGTTATTGTTTAACCTTCGTAGTTTCCTATTATAAACTAGTTGACGGCAATAGCTAACTTGTTTAGTCGGTACAAAAACTAAATAACATGTATTAAGGATGTACTTAGGTCAGGTTTAGGAATTTTTGTCAGATGTTCGGACTCCTAGGTTTTTTTCCTAGGATACAGGGTAAAATATTTTGCCCCATAACACCCATTTTTCTTTTCATATAAGACTTCAATAGCTCATAAAAAGTCATTTACCAAACTTTAATCAGATTCTAGATTTCTTTTCTTTCGATTTGAGACCCAAATAATACCAATGTAAATATAAGGTAAAAGTCCGAGTCAGTCTTTTCCCGCCATTTTTAAAAAATTAAATATCTCGAAAAAAAGCTCCATAACCTATCAATATTTTAAGCTTATTTTGTTCCTCAACTAATGCTCTTCTGACTTATTGTATCAATTTTAAATTCTAGATTTTTTTAATTTCACCTAACTACATCCTTAAGGAGAAAATAAAGTTACATGACATTACTATTAAAATTATTCGTGTGTTTATGTCAACCATGTTTCATAAGTCAGGGTCTGGTGGGGGGTCCTTCAATTCTATATGCTTTAATTGTTTAGGTCATTTTTCATTATTCTTTATATTTTTTGCCCATTAATCTCTATTCTTAATATTTTAGCACTCCATTATTAAGGTCTTTCCTCTCCGTTAGGAAAGACCTTATTGTTTTTCTAATGTTTTTTTTTCTTTTTCTTTTTCTTTTTCTTTCTTTTTTTTTTCTTTTTTTTCTTCCAACATTCTTTTGACATGCCCTCCCTTCGTTTCTATTGAAGTTATCAAGACCAAATTTGAACCATCGATAGACCTCATTGTGAAGTATTACCAGATGACTCTGTTAAGGATTTCATCATCCCCATTGAAAGTTATCTCCCTTTTATTGGGTTTTTTCAACATGGTCCCCCCTCGTTGTTTTTTAAGATATCATGACCTTCTTTGTACTATAGGTAGATCTCATCATGATGTATTACCATATTAGGCTGGGTAGGATTTAATCGACTCCATTGAGAGTTGCATCCCCTTGAAGCAATTTCTTTTATATGCATTTTTCTTAAAAAGTATAAGAGATAGAATCAAATTGAAAATGGCAGCATCTACAGGAACAAAGGGCAATGTTAATAAACATAAACAATTATATTATTATCAAACAATATAAGGAGTTATTTCCCTTGAAAAAAATTACTACATTTTTCAAAAATTGTATTTCGAGAACCGGAAGTTGTAGAGACTTGGAACCTTCACCAATAATCTTTAATTCATGTGACCTTTAACTTGCACCCAAGGTCAAAGGTCAGTGAGTGCAAAAAAAATTTACGCTGCAATTTCAAGCTTACATATTAAGAAAACGATAAGAGTTTGCTGCATACATACTGTGTATAAAATGTTCCTCTAAACGAGCTCTACATTTTATACATTAAGCTTAAAACTGTCCGACCGTCTGTTCAAAAGTTACCACGAGATAATTCTTAAAAGTATATTATTGTGTGTATATCTTTTTAAAGGTAACAGATATCAATGTACTATAAATTGCAAAAATGATCAGTATTTAAAGACCTTCAATTTGAGGTCAATGTCAGGTCATGATGAAATTTTACCCTGACCTTCAAAGTGTACTATGACCTTGACCTTGTGATATTTATAAGGTCAAGTTGTCCTGAGTTGAATGGTGGTAGTCCCATGTCTCTACGACTTCCGGTTCTCAAGTTTGGTATTGCATCATATATTTGATGATTCATTGTGACCTTGATGAACTTCGGAATTGTCCCAAATTTGTTCTACAATGTTTTCCTTTTATTGTAGATCATTTTACTTTTAACAGATTTGCGATATCTGTCGTCGTTTTAGAGATAATTCACTTTGAATATTTGAGAGCGGCGGCATGTATTTCTGAATTAACAACAGGTAACCACCTGAAATTTTCAGAAAGTGAAGAGTTTAACATGGTTATATGTTTGACCAAATACCAAAAACATTCAACGAAAAAAAAACCTCAAAAAATCAATTTGAAATTTTCATGTTTTGCATTGACTTTGTGAGTTTCATAAGTTCTATTTATACAATTGATATTGCATCATTTTTGGCACTTTGCCAAATGGGGTCATTTGATATATCAAATTGAAGGTCTTAACGAGCTCTACTCAAAAATGAAAATGTTAAACCCCCTTTTCATCCCAGGGGGAAGGGTGGGGTCATTTAGTGCAAAAAATTCAAACTTCTCAGATGGTTAGGTTGTCGCATATCAAAAGAAAGTCCATAAAGCGTACATTTCAAATATCAAATTGACGTCCCCAAAAATGGGTTGGGTGGGGTCATTGAGTGCAAAAAAAAAAATTTTCTTTTAAGGTAAGGTTGTTGTATTTCAAATGAAAGGTCAAAACGTGTACATTTCAAATATCAAATTCCCGTTCTCCAAAAACTAGTTGGATGGGGTTATTAAGTGCAAAAAAAAAAACTTTTAAGAACATGGCGTTGTCGCATATCAAATGAAAGATCATCAAGTCTACATTACATATATCATACTTCCGATCTCGAAAATGAAGGCAGATGGGGTCATTAAGTGTAAAAAGCGAAAAGTTTCAGAAGGTATGCTTGTCGTATATCAAATGAAAGGTCGTACAAAGTACATTACGAAAACATCACTTTAACAGGAAAGACCTTTCAATTGTTTTACAAACAATTGAGATACTAGTTCTCTATTCTTTTTTTTTTTTGGCCGATTTTTCTCTATTCTTTATATTTTTTGGCCTTTATTCTGCACTTTTATCCCATTATTCTCTATTCTATAAACCCCATCCAGACCCTCATAATTATATTTTTATCTAAGCTTCTAAGTAACAAATTATTTTAGTTCTGTTTCATACGTATGCTTTAAAGGGCCATGACAAACACATTACTGATTTTAAGAGTTATCGTCTGTAACCCATATTGGCCTTCTTTGATAATTCAATAAAAATTACAGAACAGAAATTGTCTGCTATGATGTGTCTTTGCATGGTCGATGAATGTGTATGAACGAGAGAACAAAAATGATCCACTATACCGGCAAAAAAAATACACTATAAGCTAGTAGTTTTTTACCTTGCAAAGTGTTGCTGATACCAAGGATTTATATAGTAAAAATCCTTGCTGATACATCAGGACTGTACCTCTAATTTAATAATTGATAAACTTGCTTAACATGATTTGCAATTTTACTTTTCAGGAACTTTTAGACATCTCTAAAAACCCTCCTAGTCCACGTTGTTCAGCGGGCCCATTAAACGATGACAGTAAGCAATCTAATTATTTATGATTTAATTTTGGATTTAACACGTCTTCTGATTGGCTGAAGGTTTTTGTCTATCAGCCCATAGACATAATTTTGTCATGTCGTCACGTCATCAACGTTTTTTCATGATTTACTTCTTCATGTTCTTAAAAATGGAATTTTGAATTAAATTATAAGGAATGACTGTAATATTTTTTCTGCCTATTTGAAGTAACCTAAAAAATGTGGTGCGCACTTTTTATTCAGTGTGCACCATGCACATTTTTATGTTATTTCTTCCGATAGACAGAAAAAATATTAAAGTCATTCCTTAATTATATATATTAGCTAGGTCTGAGTTGAAGACTATCAGTATAAAAAAAACCGACCGGTTCTCTATTTCACATTTTAAATTTCCATGTGGTCCGCGATGTAGCGAACTGTTACATTATGAATGGACGCAGATGTGCAGTATGCGTCAGTGGGACAGCACCCCAACGACACAAGTAACCAATAGACATCTAGAGGGCAACACACCATCTTCAACATCAATCAGGTACCTATACAACATAACAGATCTAAATGGTCTCGAGTCTTTAAAAGTTTTGAATAATAAATAAAATGATAACAGGAATAACCACAAATATTGGAGAGTACAACAGATTACACCAACCAACCACCAACACCTGATATACGAACAAACAAGGACAAACAACAACAAACAACTCGTGGTTCAGAAAGCATGGCTTTTTATAAACACAACACATGGTAGGGTGAATAAATTATACAGAGACCATCAAAGATCTGCTATTAACACAAACATTTTAAAATATTAAAACTATTAAGATATCATGACATTTGACGACAACCACTGACGACCCTTACGGAACTGAAATGTTTGCTGCAGATCTGCAGCAGATTTGCTGCAAACAAAAACTTGCAGGAATCCTTTGAATAATGTTTGGAGTTGTTTGCAGCTATCTGCAAACCTCCTGCAAACATTGCAGCTTTTTGCTGCAAGCGCTTGCGGCAAGTTTGCATAAACAATTATGTTTGCAGTAAGATTGCAGGAAAAACTAGAATATAACGGATGTTCGCAGCTAGATTGCCGAAATCTTTGACCAATTCTATATGTTTGAAAGAGCATTGCAAGAATTACATAAAGTGACTGAGCATATGACTATTGTTAACTTCCTGAAAATTAAAGATTTGAAATTCGTGGTGCTCAATTATGTTGATGGTGTTTGGGTCATGTTATATATTAGTGTTAAGGGAGGCATTTTAGGTTGGATATTAAATACTTAGGGAGCTACCATTTGATTTTTATGGGGGGGGGGGGCTAGGATGAAAAATTTTGTCCTGCCTTTTTATTTTTCCCTCTATTCGGTCCTGCCTTTTTATTTTTCACTCTATTCAGTCCTGCCTTTTTTTTTTTAGTTTATCCTGACTTTTTTTTTTACATAAATTGTCATCCTGCCTTTTTTTTTACTCAAAACTCCTGTCCTGCCTATTTTTTTCAAATTTCATCCTAGCCCCCCCCATAAAAATCAAATGGTAGCTCCCTTAGTTTTCAAAGACATTATTTGTTAGTACAAATTCTTCATAGAACTGTAAAATTATGAAATTCGTCACCTCCACAAATACCTAAAGGTTTGAAAAACATTTACAAACATGTTACAAATATACAGTACTCTCTAATATGTTTGGAGATTGTAACTTATTAAATATTATGTTACATAAAGTGACTGAGCATGACTATTGGTTACTTCCTGAAAATTAAAGATTTGAAATCTTGGCCTGCAGCAAACACTCATTTGCATGGTAAATTGTTTGCAGCAGACCTGCAGCACATTTGCAGCAAACACGCCGAAAATACTGACTCTGTGTTTGCTGCAAGTCTGCAGCAAAACTTGCACCAATTATTTATAGGAGGCTGATTTCTTCAGTAAGGGGATGTTACTGGCTTGTTCGTGATTTATGATAAATCCATAACAAATCTGGAGCAGATATGAATTGGTTATGATAACCCTGTCCCACATCCGACATGAAGGGTGATAAAATTTAAAAGCGAGATATTGAGTTATACATGTTATATATCATGTCTAAATATGTAGGTTGCACTTTGTAAATACAGCTGTTTCTCAAACCACGCCTCTTTTGGGGAGATATATAATATTCATAGATACGTTAATTTGTTAATGCACTGGTTCCCATTTATGATCTCTGTGTTTCATCTCATAGAGACATCACTTTGGAATGTAACCAGTATAGAAAAACATGGTAGCGCCTAAATTTTAATTCTTAGGAGGTCCAAATATGAAGGTAAGGGTCGTATAGAATTTTAGTATAAGTTTAAACTCTTAGAAGTTCAGGGCATATAAATGTTGAAAATATGCCGCACAGCCCTATATTTTGACCTTTGAATAAAATAGTAGTGCATATAAACTTTCCGTTCTGGGATATTATTTTTCACGAAACTTCATAGTAAAAGTGTCACAGTTTAAGCCGCCGAGGGAGTTCCTATGGGAAATTGCATTGTCTATATTTACAGAATTGCAACCTGTAGAAATTGTAGTCTATAGAAACCTGAAATAAATCTTGAACATTTTACGATACATGTTCTTAACTTTGTTTGTTGGCTATATTTCTGAATACTCAGCGATATTACAAAGGAAACGATGGTACACTTTCTTCATAGAATCTACTTAAAATGAGAATTATGTACATATTTGATAATGCAGAGTACTGTGTTGTAAAAATGAATATATGTAAACAAAAGGAAAAGTATAGAAGACAGTATATGTGTGTAAATATATCTGTATTAATTTGAAATGAAGCCCATGCATAATGGAATAACTTACTAAAACGTTGTTAAAAAAAAAGAAATGGATCGCGCGAACCTTAAGAGTAAAATTAGAATCCATTTTGTATCTTTGGTTTCGTTTGGTTAAGTTGTTTTATTAAAGTGAACATGTCAGATTTCTTCTTCTTCTATGTATATGCACCTAGTATCATTCAGACACAAAATTATTTCTAAATATAAAGGAACATTTAGAGTTTAAAAACTTGCATTATTAATTATATTGGACGCATGTTGAAACGCAAGAATAGAACTATAATATGTAGCTGATAAAACAAAATATTAAACCTGTATTTTTTTTTTATTTTTTTATTATTTTTGTTCAGTGTTCACTTGGGAGGGCAGGATAATGGGACAAGTAAGTATATGCTTTGTTTTAATGGGACAAGTAAGTATATGCTTTGTTTTAATGAGACAAGTAAGTATATGCTTTGTTTCAATGGGACAAGTAAGTATATGCTTTGTTTTAATGGGACAAGTAAGTATATGCTTTGTTTTAATGGGACAAGTAAGTATATGCTTTGTTTTAATGGGACAAATAAGTATATGCTTTGTTTGAATGGGACAAGTAAGTATATGCTTTGTTTAAAATGAGAGGCGGAAGAAATCAAAGGGATAATCAAAACTCGAAGAAAAATTGACAAAATCATGACAAAAAAAAACGAAAAAAAAAACGACAAAGAACAATGTGTCAATATTACATACATGAAATGAAGATTTAGTTTCATTATCAAGATGTTAATTTACGGAACTAATTCACAAAAAAACACTGGTCCAAACATCTATGAAATAAGCTAAAACAGAAGCAAGATTTCTTCTTTGAAACAAACAAAATATTAGTACAGAATGCACAGGAGTATCATTGACACCAAATATTATCTTTGCTATTTTTTCACATTTTATGCAACAAGACAATATCATCTATCAATGGTAATTGTTATAACACACATCAACATGACTTTATTACTCAGAAAAAAATGCGTTATACAGGTTGACCGCTTTGGTTATATAGAAAGGTTTCTCGAAACCTGATGTCTTTTCTCCTTTACTGTTTTCAATTTATTATAATGACTACAATAACAAAACTATTGAATAAAGACAAAGAATTTTCTATTATTTTTTTCTAGAAGGAGTAGGGCTAATTTCCCCTGTATCTGTTTCTCTCACAGTGTCAAAATCTAAAAGTCACCAAATCCTACTGGAAATTGAATATTAAAGCGCCTAGATCATATACTTAAAAAACTCATCACATGTAATAAGTCATCTTGGTATTCTAATATTGTATATATTTTAAGATGCATTGATGTTGATATGAAAAGTTTTGACATTGAAAAGGTTAAAAATATTTTGATAAGTAGATATAAGATTTACTGGAAAAAATACTATATAGACGATAATGCAAATGTTAAAAAAGGAAAATTGCGTACTTATTTCAAATTTAAAAACATCTTCAAAAAGGAAGCATATTTATGTCAAGTTAATAAATTTCAGTATCGAAAAAGCTTTACTCAATTTAGAATCAGTTTTCATCAGTTAGCTATTGAGAAAGGTCGATATAAAAAAATAGATAAAGATAAAAGATTTTGTGGGCAGTGTAAAAATATGCAGGTTGAAGACGAGTTTCATTTTTTAATGGAATGCACTGCATACGAAAAGAAAAGGAATTTTATTCTTAATGAAGCATTCATTCAATGTAAAAACTTCCCTTATATTTCAAAGTACGAACAGTTTATTTGGTTGATGTCCTGTGAGTCTGAAAATGTTAATATGTCAATGTCAAGATTTATTAGTACTTGTTTTGAAATAAGAGAATATTTGCATTCCAGAAACTAAATATACAATAGCAATGATGTAGTTTATTTTTTATGTATTAGAGAGGGTTAATATTCTATTTTATTTATTTTCAAACACCATCTGGTATGGAGTATAGTTATTTAATAATTTATTTTTAATATAATATATCTTAAAAATTACTGTATAATTAATACTATATATATATATATATGCTCGGAAACGAGCCCTTTAATTGGATTCAATAAGTATTCTTATTCTTATTCTTATTCATCAAAGATGCCTAGCTCATAATTTGGTACGCCAGACGTGCGTTTCGTCTAGATACGATTCACTAGTGTCGCTCAAATCAAAATCAATTACAAACTCGAAGAGCATCAAAATCCGAAAATTCCGAAAGTATTGCATAATACGACTAAGCCAATCTATTCCTGGATATAGAAAAAAATCTAAGTGTTCCGAATGATTCAACATTTTACGAATAATAAATTTACTGAAAATGAACATATATCAATCCATATTGTTTAAAAATTTAACATATTTCCATAAAATTAAAAAGTTATTCGCTACATATAGCGCTGTTGAATACACTTTGATTTCAAAATTACAAATTTTACATGTTTTTTTTCAGCTTTTGTATCGACTGGCCCGTCGCGGATATCCCTTACCGAAATGAATCTATTTGTATCCGAAAGACAATACATAGCTTTCTTTCCAACGATATTTTTGTTTTAGTTAAGGATGTTCTTATACATTTTTGGGATAAATACTCAAAATTCACACCTGACGGGAAACATATTCAGGGGAAACTGGCCATAACTCTTTATCTTACGCATGAGGACTTCATTCAAGATGTGATATCTGGGTTAATCAATTTACGATGTTCATGGTATTAATGATTACTATGTCTAGTCTTTGCGACAACTTTCGAGAATGAAATTCTATTTAGTCAATGCTTCAATATCAAAACGGCCAATATTTAAATTGAATCAAATTTACAGATTGAAATCTGCAGTACTGGTGATGAAATCTGCAGTACTGGTGATGAAATCTGCAGTACTGGTGATACAGATAATATTTTATATCCTTTGGTCTCTGGTGGACTGTTGTCTCATTGGCAATTACACCAACATCTCCTTTTTGTACATTATATATTTGTCTTTTCAGGACGGAACTCCTTATGCTGGAGGATTATTTTTCTTGCGGATTACGATTCCCAGTGATTATCCTTTAAAACCTCCAAAGGTAAGTCTGTTTATTCTATCATTGCTATCTTGTAGAGTATACTTTGTATGAAGAAAATTGTGAATACTATCATAGTCAATCTGATAAAACGTAAGCTTCGCTAACATATAGTAGTCTCAGACTATCATAAAGTAGTCTCAGATCAAAGTGAACGAGACAAAAAAGTAAAAATACAAAACAAGAAGAAAGTAAAATAAACATAAATCAATAAATAATTTGCTTACAAATAAAAACAATACATATAAAAGATAAAAAGGGCAACCTTTGTAAAAAAGCACACTTTAGTGTTACAATAAACATGTACTGTAATAATACTAAGCTTAGTTGCGTTTTAAGTAATAAGTCCATTCTTTTAAGCTATATTCCTATAATTTGCAGGTAAAATTTATAACAAAGGTTTACCATCTAAACATAAATGGACAATCTGGTGAAATATGTACGGCCCTACTAAAGTCACATTGGTCACCAGCTTTAAGCATACATAAATGTAAGTTGAAGCTTTTAGGTAGAATGATACAAAATAAAAATAAAAATATGTGGTATGATTGTCGATTAAGGACAAGATGTAAACTATAATTACAGATCTCCGTTACAGTCCACCAGTCCAAAACATTTATTATATTATAACACAAAAAGATTTGAAGACAAACAGGTTTCAAAAAATATATATACAAGAGTAGCACGGTGGTTATAGCTAGTGGTGCAGGAAGTACTGAACATTCAGGAGCACCTGAGTTCATATACGCCCCCTTTTTTCTCCCTAACCATTGTGTTGTCAATGGTGCTTAATCTTTAATTTTCTAATTTTTAGTACTTGTATATAAACCATTGGTCTTGTTTCCATTGTTTTTCTTTTTGATGTTGTCTGTTTTTCTTCAACTTATGGTTTGTTTTTGGATTGCCTCTCCGTATCTTTAATTCCCTCTTTTTGTGAATGAAAGGATGTATGGGATAAACGGCGATGAAACGCCAACCAAACGACACAAAACATAAACAACGATGTTCAGTTGTCAACATCCGGTCTTCAACAATCAACAGGTGTCTATTCAATAAGTCGATCTAAATCACCCTGTTTTTATTTATACGTATTCTAATTTGGAATTCTTCTTGCAGTATGTGTGCATTGACCGTCTAATCAACCAAGTAACTGTAGAACAACTACGCATGCACGTGGCTTTTATTGTCTAATCAACCAAGTAACTGTAGAACAACTACGCATGCACGTGGCTTTTATTGTATAAACAACCAAGTTACTTTAACAAAACTACACATGCGGGGAACTCAGAACTTCTACTGGGATTACATCTAAACAACCAATGAATTGTCATGCTACAAAAAACGAGTGACTTATCTAAAATACAGTGCTTAAGCAATCATCTATTTTTATATTTTTTTGTTCTATTTCAGTATTGCTTAGTATATTATCATTATTGGGTTGTCCAAATCCTGATGACCCACTTGATACAGATGCTGCAAAACTATATGAATCAGATAGAAAACAATACGATAAAACGGCGACCGAATGGACACGAAAATATGCCATGTAGCATTGTCAACTGAAATGTCATACACGTGTTTAATTCAAATTAAATATGTAGTACAAAAATTTGACATATATGACTTTTCGTTTCAGGATGATTTACATTATAAAAGTGTCTGGATTGATGTATATTTTCGAAAGATTTTAATAAATTTTATATTCTCTCGCCTTCTTCAATTTACTGGTTGTTCAGTTCACTGACAGGTAATTTGTTTTATCAAATGAAAAGCTTAATACTAGAACACATATTGATTTTGAATAAAGAAAGAATGTTGGAAATTGAAATAGGAGGGCATGTTTTGCATGTGTACCTGTTTTGTACTTTTAAACTTGTGTAAAACCAATGTGCTCTTAAGTGCAATTAAAGGTAAGCAGATTTTTTCAGGACAAGCCAAGATATCGCGTTGTACATGAAATAACTATCGGTTTCCTTTTATTTGAACTGAAGATATAATTTATTTGTTCCGACTTTACAGGTCGTTGAGACCTTTAAGACTGCAATACCTTTAATTAAAAAGACTGCTTTTTATGTCTCGTGGTAGCGTGCGCTTCTACGCTAAGTATGTGGAATTTATGAGTAAGAGCAAAGACTGGTTTTTTCAGGGTCAGTGTAGTGTGTCCTGTATAGAGTGACACGTCTTCTTGTGATACTTAACGTATTAATTGCAGATGTGTTGTGAACACTGGAGTAAAATATATAGGGGTTCTGATTACGATGATTGATTTATTGAAGGCTGTTAATCGTACAGCGCAAATATTACTTCCATATTGACAACGAGAACTTAAATTGTAAAAAATTATATGAATAAAATGCAAATGAACCCTGCTTAGTACGCAAATCAAATCAAATCAAATCAAATTATTTTATTGGAGTAAATTCCAAATATTGGGTTGTTACGAAGACAAACATGACAATATTTACAAACATACAATATACTAAGTTAACCAACATATTATATAAGTATATCATATATTTAATAGACTGACACACTGGGCGGGATATTTATCGTGCTAGTTCGCAAGGTATCAGTCCACAGGAAGACATGACAATCTACCCCATACACAATATTCTGACTCCGAGCCTACCCGTCTTCGATCTTACTCAAAAAGCTGCGTGCTTAGTGAGAAGCAGAAAATACCAGTTATCAAGTCTTTGGTTTGAGCCGACCGGTCATTGAACCCACAAATACCAGCGTTGATTAAAAGGGGATGACATTGTTTGGTATACATCAAAGTTGTAAGAAATCGTTGTGTAAGGACTGATTCACCGCACATAGAATAAACATAACATATAGGGGCCATCGTGTCATTGACTTATGTAAATGCTCTTTTGTTCCGATGTTGGAAAGTTCCGTACGGAAAGAAATAACTAGCCGAAAAGTTCCGGAGAAACTTATTAACTGGTTACTTTATTCTTCCTCTGGTTTAAAAGTTCCACCGGAACAAAGTGACTAGTTGAAAAGTTCCAACGGAACATATCAACTAGTTAGAAAGTTCCTTTTTGCCAAATTAGTCAAAACCGGAACTAACAAACTAGCCCAAAAGTTCCAACGGAACTTATCAACTAGGCAGAAAGTTCCATTTGGAGAATTGATGCAAAGTAAAAGCGCAACATATTATATTTGAACCTTTCAAAGGGAAACCAAGATACTGATTATAAAAGTCAAAAGGAACTTATCAACTAGCCACAAAGTTCCTCTTTGGCAAATAAGTCAAAACCGGAACTAACAAACTAGCCCAAAAGTTCCAACGGAACTTATCAACCAGTCACAAAGTTCCATTTGGAGAATTGATGCAAAGAACCACATGAGGAGGGGTATTCTTCCCTCTCTTGAGGGTACTATGAATACTAAATTTGCATGATAATGCAACTTATTCCGTTTTATGTGAGCTATGAAATACAACTTAAATTTTGCATATTTGTCGCCAAAGAAACCCCTTTCAGTGCGTTGGGTATTCTTGTAAATTAATGATTTGCTCTTATATATACTGATACTCATTCTTCTCCCTCTTTCTACAAAAAGGACAAAATATGGTATATTCGGAACGATGTAACTAGTTGTTCTGTTCCGCCAGAACTATTCAACTAGCTACATTGTTCCGGGACTTTTCAACTAGCTACTTTTTTCCGGAACTTTTCGACTGCACTCGGAATAAAACTTCTTTCTTTCTACAGGTATGAATCGCCGTTCTAGATCGGCGCACTCCTACATAGTAGGATGGCTAATGCGCTATATACAAATATACACCCGCACCCACTAAAAACTCATATTACACACAAAGGAATGTGCCACTAATCCACCAATTCATGCATATATATATATATATATATAACGGTAACGGTAAAAGCGTGCTGCACAAATACTGTGTTGTTATTTACATATTATATACATCGTACATTACAGTGAAGTTACGATTAAGACGGATGTGATCATCTTCACTGCTCCATGCTTAAAATACTAGTTGCTAATTCATGCTAGGTGTGCGAATATATACATTAGCTTTCTAGCAGTCTTTAGGAAAGCACTAACTGTTAATGTCTTATATCTTGGACATACTGTTAATATTGGATATATGCGTTCATCTGCAGAATATGTAGATATATTTAAAATTTAGGTACACTAAAGCACTATGCGGTAAATATGAAGGAAAAGAGAATGTTAAAGTACTATATGCTGTAAAATGGCCAAATAAACGATACATGTAGGTAAATAGCCAGCCGGATTGTCGTTATTTTTTTTTAATAAATAATATGCTTCTACATAAACTGTCACTACACCCTCACCCCTACCCTGCCGTCTGCCTCATTCTACTGGTATGCATGTCGTAACAGAACAGTCGTGTGAGGTTTTCTAGCTCTATGTATTGTTGATGTTTCATATGGAATCCGTAGTTAATGCTTTTGTGAGTACAGTCCATCAGAATTTGTACAAGCATGTTACAGTTAACTAAGTTCTGATAGAGACCATTCTTTAAGTTGTCCAGGTATAATTTTATTTTCTGGAGGTGCCTTTCACGTGTATGCGTATGCCTATTGCATGAGAGTATGAAGTGTTCTAGGTCTTCATTTGCTGTATTACACAATGTACATATTGCGGATATATTCTTATTGTTTTTAGACCTAACTGTCTGTAGCATATACGTTTGTGTTACTAGCCTGCTCTTTATTTCTCCTGTTTTCACATTTGTAGGGTTGTTTCCTGTACACTGCCAGATATTATGTGGCATAAATGATGGGTTTTCCTGTATTTGAAGATATGCCAATATCTCGGTGTTTTATTGGATTGGTCTTCAAGGCATATTTCATGCCAGTATTTATTTGGATGATATCTAACTATCCTTTTCCATTTTTCCTTTGATTTTGGGTGTTTCATAAGATTCTTAACCGGTTCCATCCTGTACTTTGTCAGAGCTTCCTCTACTCTATTTAAAAATATGTTGCTTTTTTCATTTTTCATTGCAACTTGACGTTCCAGGATTTGAAATTCTAATGAGTTATTGTTTCTTATTATGTTCATCAACAAGGATAGCATATTTCTGTCAAACAACTAGTTGGAAAGTTCCATCGGAACGAAATAACTAGTTGAAAAGTTCCGCCGGAACAAAGTAACTGACGGAACATAGTGGCTGTTATACTTACAGGCATTATCGGTACTACCTGCTGAAACATTAGCATTACTGAAGCTATAGAGCGTGGCACGTTGATAGTAAACATGTATGATCTGAAATGTATATTCAGAATAAAAATATGGCATATATTGGTATTCATATGGTACAAATAACTGATATATATTTTAGAATCGGACGGGTATGACAATGAAGTGAAGTGACTATGGCAATGGCGGATCCAGGGGGGGGGGGGGGGGGTCCGGGGGTTGGAACCCCTCCTTTTTTTTTGACGATCAATGCATTTGAATGGGGACATATAGTTGGAACCCCCTCCCCCCCCCCCTTTTATCCTGGGTTAGGACCCCCCTTTTATAAATGGCTGGATCCGCCCCTGTATGGGAGGCTCAACACAGAGTCCTGTCCTCAGCATCTGTGATCGTGTTGTCATTTCTTTAATAAAGATGTTTTACCAAAATTTAATGTACATTCGATTACACGTATTACCTTATCATTCCAGTCCATTCCATGATTTGGTGTTATATTTTATGATGTAATCATACAGATAGCAGGTTATTGGTTTTTATAATCATATAACGAACTTTTTAGGTATACTGTTACAAAAAAAATTTCGTCAGTCTTTTTCGAAAATACATATGTTCAATATAACTTTCAATTTGACGTATCTATAAATTAATTCTAAAAATAACGCCGGTGTTTTCCAGATCTTTATTTTTATTGAATATTATTTTTGGTCTGATGACTTTAATAGATATCCGGAACTTTAACAATACAAATGGCGACAAAACGACTAAACAAAGTAAGTCCTAAATTACACAGTAAACGAAGAACCTTTTTCATATCAGTATAATTTGTATCTTTCTACAAGCAAACATACAAAACAGAAAACTACAAAATAAACCCGAACTTACTACTTACAAGTTACAACATGTACAACTTATCAATATCTTATAAAATAAAGTCAAGAGCTTTGAAGGTATTATTAATTTGGATTATGCCTTTATGGATTCTTACTGGATGCAAATGCAGACCATAATTATATAAAAAAAATCAGTTTCAGTTTCAGGAAATGTCTTTATATTCATTTGTTATTCGGTTTGGTTCATATCCCAACTGAAGTAAGCCAGGAAGAAGAAAGAAATATACAATGTATACATACAGTACAACGCATGCGTTATTGTTTACTCTTCACGATTTCCTATGATAAACTGTTTACGGGCTTAAATAACGTGTTTAGTCGGTACAAACACTAAATAGGGGGTCTCATTGGGGGGTTCTGATCCCGGTTTCGCTTACTGTTTTGTCAGATTCCTGTATCCCGCTTAAACTATGTACGTAAGCAATTCTCATTTTTTTGTAATTTCCCGTGTCCCGCTAGACTTCATTTCCAGTTTTCACGGCACAATATTGTGACTTTCACGTGTCACGCTTACAAATAATCGGCAATCCTGGGTCACGCTTAGACCCCAATGAGACCCACTAAATAAGCTTTATTTAAGGATGAAATTCAGTTAAATACCAATACTTTTTAAACCATTGGTGTTTTTATGTCAGTCATTTTCAAAAATATATCTTATGTAAGCTTCTACCGAGTATATATAACCAGAGACATATACATATATACATAGAGATTGGCAACTGCAACAGTGGTCAGCGAAATCCAATTGAAATTGTGTATATATGTCTCTGATATAACAGATAATTTTAGTTGGGATCTGTTTCATGTGTACAGGGGCCGATTCAGGTGGGGGTGTGGCGGGCGTACGCCCCCCTAAAATTTGCAAAGCATTGGTTGTCCTCAGCTTAATAAAGAATATTTCGATAATTTTACCTCCAAAAAAAAAACGCCTCGCTTCACTTGGTGAAATTTTAAATTTGCGCCCCCCTAACCTAAAATCCTGGATACGCCCCTGGTGTATGCTTTAAAAGTTTCATGATACCATGGATACGGACTATCATATAAACACATTACTGATTTTACAAGATCTGCTCTATCCTTGATAATTAAATACAAATGATGTATCTTTGCAACGACTGCAGAGGAGGAAAGACTGGGTATGTCAGTTGTGTTTAATTTTTAAAATGCTTTAAAATAGACGAAGAATGTGTATGATCAATGATGATAGAGAAAAGAGAAATGATAAACAGTACAAAAAATCGCAATATAAATTAGTTTTCTAACTTGCATTGCTGCTATTCCAGGACTGTGCCTCATGATTTAATCACGTGTAATTTTACTTTTCAGGAACTTAAAGACCTTTCTAGAAATCCTAGTCCAGGTTGTTCAGCAGGCCCTATAAACGATGACAGTAAGCAATTTAAATAATTATATTTATATATACTAGAAGATGCCTGCAAAATTGTGGTACAATTGGGCAGCCAAGTGTTGAAATAAAGAGTGTGGACCCAGCAATGACAAATGTTTGTTTTTAATCTACCATCTAGTCAATTTTTGCTAATAAATTGGTAAATTTTAAATAAATTCATCTTTTAGTCAAAACATTGGGTAGGAAGGAGGGGGGTTACACATAAAAAGGGGGAGGGTCCGAATATGTTGTTCTCTGTTCTTATTTGTTATCGACGGTCAAGTCGTTTTTCGGCTAATAAATTTGTAAGTTTAAGTAATTTGATCTTTCAGTCAACAGTCAGGGGACTTACTTAAATGAGTGATTTTCTAAATCACTGATTCAAGTAACATTATGTCCATAAAGGTTGGAAGTAAGAGTTGTCGTTCTTTAATAATCACCTATTTAAGTAGTTCAAATTAATCACTAGACTAAGTGATTTAATTTTATTGTAGCTTTAAATATAGAATACTAATGATCCAGGGACTAATTATGTTGCTAAAATTATCAGAACCAACATCTGTGTTGTTAGGATGACCGGGTCATATCAGGTGATGACCTTGTACTAAATCTAGGATAATGACATAAAAATCACTTGTTTAAGTATCATACCTCAGTTTCCTTCCAAAAAATCACTTCTTTAAGTATCATTATTTTAATAACCCCCACTAATTTCAACACCCTGAACAGTGAAATTTTGATCGCGAACAGTAGAATTTTATTACATAATCTATAAGATGAAACCTTGAATTTTACAGGAAAAATACTCCCACTGCTGGGAAAAATCTGTTAAGAAAGTATCAGTTCATTATGTAAAGCCATGTTTATAGCATTTTTTCAACTAAAATAGAATTTGCAGCTAAATAATTGCATCAAAGGCATAAACCTTGCTGCTTAAAAGAAGCAAAAAGTTCATTTTTTTCAATTTTCTTTGTGACAAAACTTCGAATTTGCTACTTAAATAAGTGATTTAAAAATCACTTATTTCAATAAGTCCCCTGACTGGTCAAAACATTGGGTAGGGGGTTTACACATAAAAAGGGGGAGGGTTCCGGACATTGGGTTCCTGTGTTTACACATAAAAAGGGGGAGGAGTCCAGACATCGGGTGCCTGTGTTTACACATAAAAAGGGGGAGGCCATGCGCGTAGCTACATTTACGTCAAAACGCTCGGGCGTGCACATGAATTTTGGAAGAAGAAAAAAATACTCTACAAAAATTAAAGGAATTGGTTAAAACCACACGAGCATTGTTCTTTCTTCGATGACTTGTAAAGTGAAGATAAAAGTGACTATAAATTTATTTTTTAAATCAGATGGTATCATATTATATATTTGTACATTTTCTTTCAAAGTCTGAATCTACTGTGAATTAATATTCAATATCCTATTGTTTAAAGCTATTTATTACATGAGGATGACGGGTTTGACAGCCTAAGGGAGATGGCACCAAGGATTTAATAAGGCAAAGCTTTTGTTGTACTTAATTTTATTGAAGTTTTCTTTATTCATGTTATTATATATATATATATATATATATATATATATGAAAGCTGAGATACGATATGTAGTTTTCATTTTCATATTACACCTGACCATCTATGATGGGATGGTTTCCAACGACAGAACTCTCGAGACTCTACCATTAACTGGCCACCCGCTGATTGATACTTCGACACAAACAACGGGTCAGTGGTAAATTGATATCGGCTGATTAGACCATCGCATTGGTCAATTGATTTTTCAGTGACTCTAGAGATATTCCGATACGCAGCGTCCTAGATAAACATGGCGGACTTTGAAAAGAAAATTAGACTCGTGAATGAAATAAAGTTAGTTTTGACAACCATTAACAAATTAAGGGGCACTGAATTTAGAATTTTGAAACCAGCTCAGTTTCTGTGTATCAGAGAAGCGTTGATTCGGGACACATTAGCCGTTCTACCAACAGGATATGGAAAATCATTAATATTTGAGACACTGCCGTATTTCAGAAATTCATCTATTCTGGTAATTTCTCCGCTGAATTCTATCATAGAGGAACAGTTAGTACGTTATGGAGATAAAGCTGTACATTTGAACTCAGATATTGTACGTTGCTTAAAAACTGGTGTATTATCTGAGGACTGTCAATATGAATTATAGTTATCTCGTACCATTGTAAACTCGTACCAATGTCAACTCGTACCACTAAAAAAAAACTCGTACCAATGCAAACTCGTACCACTGCTAACTCGTACCACGGTAAATTCATACCATTGTAAACTCGTACCAACTTATTTAAATGCATTCAAATGGTGTTTAATGATGAATATATACTTTAATTTCCCTCAATACCTCGTAAATCTGTAAAGTGTATATAATTTGAAATTACAATGACCAATTTGTAGCTAATTTTCCTTGTCTTATTGGATAGAGAAAACCGTGGCAGATTGGCTTTGTTGTCTCCCTTGAGTAGACTCTTTTTTAAACTTTTACTGACAACTATTTGATTTAATTTTTAATCATTCCAAATCAGTATCATTGAATAGATTTGTGTATTTTTCTTTTGTTTCTAAAAGGAATTTTTATTTAACGAAAGAATTTATTTATTGTGTTTTAAATAAACTCATCATAGATACCAGGATTAAATTTTGTATTTACGCCAGACGCGCGTTTCGTCTACAAAAGACTCATCAGTGACGCTCGAATCCAAACAAGTTAAAAAAGCCAAATAAAGCACGAAGTTGAAGAGCATTAAGGACCAAAATTCCTAACTTGAAGTTTTGCCAAATACAGCTAAGGTGATTCTATTCCTGAGCTAGAAAAGCCTTAGTATTTCAAAATTGCAAAAGTTTTGTAAACAGTTAATTTATAAATATGACCATATCAATGATAATTCATGTCAGCACAGAAGTGCTGACTACTGGGCTGGTGATACCAAAACAAAATCATAAAACATTCGTATTTTTTAATATATTTTTAATGGTACGAGTTTGCAGTGGTACGAGTTCTGATTGGTACGACTTCCCAGTGGTACGAGTTTACGTTGGTACGAGTTAACTTTTTTGGTACGAGTTTACGTGGTACGAGTTTACAATGGTACGAGTTAACTTGCTTCCGTCAATATGACATTGAAAAATTGAAAAGTTGCAATTTTTCATACATCTTGGGTCACCCAGAACAATTTATTGATAAAGCCGTGTTTGGACTTTTTAAGTCAGAGAAATGGCAGAGTAAAATCTCACATATAGTTGTGGATGAAGCACACTGTGTAGTTCAATGGGGTCATGGATTCAGGGAAAAATTCACTGAACTTGTAAAACTGAGGTCAATGTTTCCAAATGCAAGAATGTTGGCTTTGACTGCAACTGCTACAACCAAAATGCAAAATGAAATAAGAAAACAGCTTGGAATGAAGAGCGCATTGACTGTCCAATCATCAATGGACCGACCAAACATAAAATTGACATTGGTCAAAAGACCAGCTGGATGTGGTGGAAAAAACACTGTCCAGGAATCATATGATTTTATCTATCAACCATTAGTTGATGAACTACGGACAGACAAGTCAAGTTTTGAAAGGACAATAGTTTATTCGAAAATAAATTGGTGTGGCTATGGTTATGAGGAAGTGGTCAGGCCATTGAAAAATGGAGACAAAGAGGACAATATTGAGAAATGTTTTGCCCAGTTTCACAGCCCATGTACATCAGAGGTAAATGTCTTATAACTTTCTTTGGTGTCATTAAAGAAACTATTCAAATTCAAAAGAAATTAAAGGTTTCTGTCCCATATCATCAAAATAAGAAATTATAAAACATTTAAATTGCTAAAAATATATTTATTTTCCAGGCTCCATTTTTGCATGTACATGTATGTTCAGCTGGGTCTGTCCAGTCATCCACTGTATCACACCATTAATTTTAAAACGAGATTTTAAATCAAATATGACAAATCAAAATTACTTTCAAAGCTGAACCGTAATAGTATAATTCTATATAGCTATATATATATATATAGTTCCATGTACATTGAGATTTAAAATGAACGACAGCTCTGTCAAGCCTGTCTGTATGATGTACCACACCATCAACAATTTTGAAACTGAACCAGATCATTTACAACAAACATGTTACTGTACTGTTACTCATTTAGTCTGAGATTAAGAGTTGTCACTTCAGCAATCATACTATTTTTTTCTAAATATTTCTATTTTTTCAATTTTCTAGATGAAGAGCAAAGTTTTGAGTGACATGGCAAGTCCTGGAAGTGACCTTAAACTGCTTTTTGCAACGGAAGCATTTAGTATGGGTACAGATTCACCAAATGTTAGAAGGGTTATTCATGCTGGAGTTCCAAAAACACTAGAAAGTATGTTTCAAATACAATTGCAAATTAAGTAGTCTATAATAAGATATAAAATTTCACTGATCACTCGAGATGAATTTCATTGAAAATTGGATTTTGTCCTCTAACTATATGCTTTCAGATATCACACCGAACAAAAAAAAAGCCTCATTTTCGACCTGTACACTTGACAAGTTTACGATAAAAATGAAAACAAACAGACAAGTTACTTGCATATTATAGTTTTTTAATATATATACATGAATGTATTTCAAAACATCATAATTCAGTGGTACAAAAAAGCAATAAATAATATGCATATATATATATATATATATATATATATATATATATATACAATGTCTATACATATGTACAATTAAATTCATCAATTTATACACACAAAAAAAAACAAGTTAAATACTGTAATACAGTATTGGAATGTCCATTTATCAAATTTTGTATAAATTTATCGTTTATACAAAAATCTACCAGTAAAAACCTTTGTTAACGTTTCAAAATTTGGAATGTTCTTAATTTAAATTAACCTATATATATGTACATGTATGTTATACATGTGTTTTTACATGTATGCAAACATAAACAATGATAGATAACAATTAACATGTTAATTTATTTTCATTTCAGTATACATACAAGAAATAGGCAGAGCTGGAAGAGATGGTAAATCATCAACAGCTATTTTGTACTATAACAAATCTGATATTTCACAAGCTGTTCCTGGTATGACAGATGGAATGAGAGATTATTGCAATTCAAAAACTTGTCGACGTGCCTATTTATGTGAACATTTTGGTTGTGAATTCAGTGAAATGAATTTCAAGCATGAATGTTGTGATTTATGTGAAATGGAATGCACATGTAATCAGTGTTCTGAAACAAAAAGTGAAATTCCAAGTGAAATGGAACAAACAGACAATATCATTGATGTGCCACAATCTGCTACTGATGTTGGTTTAAAAAGTTCAATATTAGCAACTGTTATCGACTATTTTGAATCAGAAAACGAATGTCTTAACATGCCAAATGCAGCAATTTATACAGGTCTCACCAAAGAGCTTGCAAACTTGATATCTGAGAACTATCAAGCCTACCTTTCTGGTACCATTATACTAGAACAATATCCTAAAATTGGTCCAGAAATTGCAGAAAACATTTCAATCATTGTTCAAAGTATTGTGCTAAACAATTCATATTATTAAAATCTTAATTAATCATCATTATTTATTATTGTATTTTTGCAGACCAGCAGTTGTACATGTATAGATATGGTTTTAGGCTTAACCAATTTGATTTGTACTTTTTTAATTCATGCACTAATGCTGGGGAAAAAAAACCATTAAGGTGATCAAAAGTATTTTTTCTGCATTTAATAAAGAAATGTCAAGTCATAGTATAAAGAATGGAACTGGGGAATGTGTCAAAGAGACATCAACCTAACCAAAATATACAAATTCAACCGAATGCTATCAATGTGACTTAAGTTTATTCTTATGAATCTTGTGTCATACAATGTAAAATGCATGTTTAAAGACTTTGAAAGTGATGCCGCAATGTCTTGATCTTTATTCCATACAACTATAGGAGCCAAAAAGAATATTTGAATTGTAATTGAAAGTATAGCATATATATATAGCTGCAGTGCGGAAACATGCCCCAAAACACCACACTGAGGAATAAACCTTATTTATTAAGATAACTTTTTAGAAAAAAATGATTTGAAAAAGAGAGGATCTTGGATAAACAAAACAAATTTTATCACATTTTAAAAAACATATAGATCGATTCTTTATATCTATATATACATTACATGCATATTGGTAACACATTAAACAAAATGCTCCGCTGGGGCGCAGCTTGATACGACTGCAGAGGTCGAACCCTGAACAGTTGGGGCAAGTATGGACACAACATTCAAGCTTCATACAGCACTGAATTTGGATTGTAATTAAATATTTGACACAGCATAGGTTTCTGATACAGAATGAATGTGGTCTAAGAACTTAAAAATTTTTAATTTACCTATTCAAACCATATCATTATTATTTGCTTTTATATATAAATCAGAAATAACCAATTTAAAATGGAAAATTTTAAAGAAAAAAAAAAGGAAACAACCCCCCCCCCCAAATTTTTTGAACCCCCTTATGATTCATCACCCCCAAACTCAATCCCAGCCTTCCCTTTGTGGTATGGTACCTTGCAGTACAATTTCAGAGAGATCCATACACTTGAACTCAAGTTATTGTCTGGAAACTAGAAAAATGCTTGTTTTTTGGCCCCAAATTCCTCAACGTTTAGGGCAATTACCCCCAAACTCAAACCCGACAATAGAGCAGACAACAGCCGAAGGCCACCAATGGGTCTTCAATGCAGCGAGAAACTCCCGCACCCGGAGGCGTCCTTCAGCTGGCCCCAAATGCTTTCAAGTTTGACCTATTATTCTGCATTGCAATATTTAATTTCTTATCAGGAAACTTAAATATTTCTGAATTTACAGTTTTATATATGATATCATTTTTACACTAGTCATTTTTAATAGAGCCTTTCATAGCTTGACCTGTAATTGCGTTAGCTTTTATATTAAGTCTTCGAATTTAGCACAAGACTGCCAGCCTCTAGCCTGTGAAAATCTTTTCTGTTTTGTTGATTTTTGTGAATTTTGTAATACAATCTTGAGAAAAATGTGGAGAATAATGAATTTGGTCCTGGAAATGCCAAACCACAATTTATGACTGTATATTTACTACTTTAGGTCTTTGAAGGAATGTTGTTGCATTGGCAATCATATACCACATCTTCTTATGTTTTAATATTACCATTACATACATGTACATGTAATGTACATGTACATACTGAGATTGATAACTTTTAGAGACATTGTGTCAGTCATGACAGTCTTAAGCCAAGGACAGACATACAAAAACCAGGTGTGATCTCATGCTGTTTTTTAATTAACGTTACCTGAATCAAGCTACATGTGTAGGAGCATGATATTTGTTTTAAATATATATGTCAAATATGAATAAATTACTTAACAGATAAACTGTTAGATAACATAACCATGATAACTATAAACCTTGTTTACAATTATGTAGTATTAGAAATTTTGCTTCTTTTACAGGTACTCACGAATATTATTATCCAAACATTTTGCCAAAGGGGAGGAAGAAAATATTATTTATATGAATTTTGCATTTTATTTTTTTTTTAAACTGAGCTTTTTCCATCTAATTTTCTTCATCATATATTTGTACGTAGGTACAATGTACATTTTTAAAATGATAATTCTAATTTTCTGTCATGACTAGTACTTACTGTTGAGCATACATGTATACATATACATGTACATATACATGTATGAATGTAATCCTCTGATAAAAATTATTAATTTGGTGAGTTAAAACATTTCAAAAGGCAATGGGTTAAATTTTCAAGCAGGTTCACATACATTGTATCAGGTATAAAAAAAACTGAAAAAAAAATGTTTGTTTATCCGCTTTTTACCCAACCTAATGTCCAAATTACATGTACATACAATTTTGATCTGACAATAGAAAGAAATTGTATTTCAAAATTTCAGAACTCAATTTGTTCGAATATTTTGAATTTTGATTTCGTGTCAGATTGATATACATGTATGTGTGTTACTGAAATAGATTAGTCATCACACTGTTTCACACATTATATACATGTACATGTGTATGTCAGCTGCATGTTAATGTACATTGTATGTACATGTACAATGTACTTGAACATGTCATTTGTGCATATATATACATGAATTTGGTACATGTAAGTCACTGAGTTGTTAAACAAACATTTTTTTTTAACCATTCAATTAAAATCAACAAGCTATATATAGCAAATAAATTACCTTTTGATCACACAGGTTGTCAAACAGGTTGATGCTTATAACTCTCTGCACCTTACTCAGTTCATGATTTCTGCCCTGTGCAAGAACGGAATACAAAAATCCAATTCTTGGAGTTAAAGATGCAACTCGTTCTACTTTAGTCTTTTGTTCCAAACTGTCAGGGACTAAAAATGCCAGCAAAACATCAACAAGAAGAGGGAATTCTGTCACTGCCTCATTTACAATACTGTCCCAAGTAAACTGTTTTAAGTCTTCAAAATCCTTTGTCATTAATGTGCTTATTTTTCCATGCTTTCTGTTTTTCAAAATTTTGTGTTCTTTTGATAACTCCGAAAACAGTTCTTCTTTCACAAGAGTTTTAATTTCAGCAAATTGTAATATGGTGTTAACCAAAGTTTTCCGTGATCTTGTTGGCAAAACAGAAATAACAGTTGAGAATTCCTCAGAAGACAAAATGTCACAAATTTCTGGTTGTTCAAATAATTTCTTGTGTAAATCGTTATTTTCTGTTGTTTTCAATGATGATTCAGAAGGGTTTTTTTTCTTTCTGGAACATGCTTTCTTTCTGTTGAATTTCTCTGAAGCACTGCTTGCATAGTTGTGCTCTTGAAGTGGCAACTCATGTTTTTTGCTTAATTTTAATTCTGAACCTCTGTTTTCTGGTTTTGGAGTTGACGTTATACTGTAATGTAAATTAAAAAAATACATATAAATAATAAGGTAAAATATCAATTTAAAATATTCAGATACATGTACACTGTACATTTGCACACATGATTCAGACATGACAGGTCATGCAGTTAGTACATGTATATAAAAAAATATTTTCTATATTAGGTACAAATAACATAAATAATGAGATGTGGTATGAGTGACAATGACACAACTCTCCATCCAAGACGCAATGTATTTAAAGTTAGCAATTATAAGTACGGCCTTCAACAAGGAGCCTTAAAAAAAATTGCTCATACCGAACAGCAAGCTACATTGTATAAAGGGTAACAGGAATGACTGAATTACACCATTATTAACCGAATAACACTTGTACTGACGGAATAAGACTCGAAACTTTAATATTAACACATATTGGTGACTTTTAAACATTGTCATTGATTAAAAGGGCCCCAAAATGAACAGGAAATTCAAGGGTTTAAAGTTTGAGAGGCCGGACAGTCCCCTTTTCTTAAGAGGGATATATCATAGATGCAAAACTGTAATATTAAAGAATTGAACTTACCATTTACTTTGCACTGTACTTTTGTTGATGTCTGCTATGGTGCCAGGGGTTGTACTATAACTCTGGAAACTTGGTTTTGGAAGAATAGGTGTTAATAATGTAATGTATCCAGAATCTGAAGAATTAGAAAAACTCAGCCTCGGAGTTGTTGGTATCACATTCAGCACAGAACTGTCATTTTCTTTATCCTCTGTAATGATGCTGCATGTTCCACTATCTGGAGTATTTGGGAAAAGTTCAGTTTTAGCTCTTTCTTCTATCGACTCACTCCGTCTTTTTGTTGCCTTAGATAAATGTTCTGACATGCAACGTTTACCACCTACTAAATCTAACTTTTCATTACATTTTGAACGAAATTCTGAAACTTGTTTGTCTATACTCAGTAGTTTTCTTTCACAGTTTCTACAAACGACACCTTCTAAAACATCTATTTCGCCGTATTTCAGAAGCAATGTTGACAAATTTTTCTTAAGACCAGCATCAGAATTAAGGTGTCTCCAAGTCGATCCATTTGGTAAATCAACAATCTTGCATACAGTACATATATTCTTTCCAATTTTACGAGGAGTCATATTTACTTGTTCGGCGCCATTTTCAATGTTTATAACTATCAACTCTCGTAATTAACGAGAGATAACGGTACAGCCTTAATCGTGGCTGTCTTATATTAGCGCTGACCTGTTGTTTGTGTAGATAAGATTGAAACAACAGCAGGGGTCCAGTTTAGACTCTACCAGAGGCTAAATGACTGGCTTGGTCGTGATTTATAATAAATCCATAAACAAATCTGGAGTGGATATGAGTTTGTTACAATAACCTTGTCCCACAACTTACATGAAGGGCGATAAAATTTATAAGCGAGATATTGAGTTATATACCGTAGAAAGGCTTGTATAGTCCGCGGTTTTATTCTCCAAAATTGGACCTTCCAGACGGGGTGCGGACTATAGAGTACAATAAGCAAGAAATAAGAGAAAAATTTCAATTTCGCGGGCGAGGTGGTTTGTTTACGTTCCGCCATCTTTGTTATTTATATTGTAGAGGGCGCTCTTATCATTTTTCAAACTAATAATTTTAACTCATCCATATTAATAAGTTATTTCTATTCAATATCAAATTAATACTGATAAATATAAAAACTAAACCTTTCATTACAAATTTCTCGTTTCTTTTCAATGCATTGGTTGAAATAAACTGGTATCTGCTTGATTGAAACGATACAAACATAGTGAAAAAGACAACCGTAAACCAGCTTAGAATTTGTAAACTACAAAACGTAATCGGTCATTGTTCGTTCCGTTTTGGTGTTTCATACTGACTAATAGGGTTTGTATTAGCTTAAGACCCTTCAAACATTAATGTGATAGATATATTAAAGACTGTTTTACAAAAGGATGGAACTGTTTTACTTTCAAAGTCGTATTATAGTGATATCTGTTATGTACGGATTTCGACTCTCACCGGTTAATTTCTTCTTTTACACGTGCTTTTTAAACTTCCTGTTTAAACATACACAAGTTTCTAAATTGTTTTTTAAGTGAATTAAACTTATTTTAACAATCATGAAGCGTTCTAGAATCATTTACAAGCAGTTTCAGCTTCTGTTTGATGATGGAAAACAGGGTTTTCCAAGAAAATACCGCAAACGACCGCACAGGATTTGAAATTACCGGAGTTTCATTAGACCTTTCCTAACAGTTACAAAAAGTTTTTTTACCTAAAATTTCGTGGGGAGAAGGGGGTGCGGACTATGTACCACTGCGAACTATACAAGCCTTTCTACGGTATATCATGTCTAGATATGTAGATATTGTAGACTATAGAAACTGCAAAGGACTCTAGAATATTTTACGATACATGTTATTGATAGAAAAAGAAAGTATATGGAGTATCCACCCATGACACAAAATCAGTACATTCACAGCAAAAAACACACAAAAAACAAAGGAACAGCACTTTTATTGCTTTACTTCATCTCAAAGTCAGTCAGGGCTTCAACATGGAGCAAAAAAATACTCTCACCTCTCTGCAATTTTTAGACGGCCCAAAGCAATGGTTTGAGCGATATTTGCAAAATAATTGTACAGCGCATAGCAACAGTTTAAGCGGAATTATTTGCAAAAAAATTTGAATAGACTTTGTAAGATGTAAACCACCTAATCGGGCCCGATCAAAAAGAAATTACTGGAAAGTAGTATATATTTAAAACAAAATTGAATTTGTTTGTTGGCTCTAATTCTGATTAATCTGCGATATCTATTTCCTGTATTAATTCTACAATCATATCAGATACATTGACCAGTACTCTTTCTTTATAGAATCTATTTAAAATGAGAATTATGTATTGCATTTTTATAATGCAGAGTATAGTGTAGTAAAAATTCATATCTATAAACAAAACAAAAACATATATCAAAAAGTATATAAATAAATCTGAAGCGCATGCATCAAGGAATGAATTACTAAAACTATGTGAAAACGTAGTGGATCGTGTGAACGTAATATATTAAGAGTGAAATTCGAATTCATTTTGTATCTTGCGCTTAGTAGGGTAAAGTGGCTTATTTCAGTTAAACTTATCAGAAATCTGTGTTCTTTGATGAATATTCACCTAGAATATCATTCATACACAAAAGCATTTCAAAATATATGGCAACATTTAGAGGTTAAAAATAATGGTCGTTTTTTGAAACACAAAAGATAAGAATATGAAATGTAGCTAATGAAAAAAAAATTGTTTCCTTTATTTTTCAGTGTTCAATTGGGAGGGCAGGATACAGGGACCAGTGAGTATAGGCTTTGTATAAAGAGGGTCCAGATGGGCTTTTCATAATTGAGAATAACTGACAAATACTACAGAATAATGGACCAAAATAATCAAGAATATGGAGAATTATACAGTGTTACAATATTCATATAAAGAATAGAAAATAATTGACCAAAAATATAAATATATATATAGAGAAAAATGGCTTAAAATATTAAAAAATAAAGAATTGAGGGACCCCCATTTAGATCCTCTTTAAACTAAGATACCAAATGGTGAATCAAAGCTCATAAGTCGAAAAAGACTGACTAAATCATGCAAAATAACCACAAAATCTTTGCTATCTTTTCTCATTTTGAGCAAACAGGTCAATATCATCTATCAACGGTAACTGTTCGAACACACCTCATACATGTCATAATGACTCCATCATACTCAGAAAAAAATATGTTATATAGGTCATCAGTTTTTTTGTAATTACAGAAAGGACTTTCTCAAAACCCAGTGGCGGCCCTTTTTTTGACTATTGCATTTGAATAGGGACATTTAGTTGGACCCTCCCCCCTTTTATCGTTGGTTGGGAAGCACCCTTTTAAAAATGCCTTGATCCACCCCTGAAACCTGATGTCTATTCTGCTTGTACTGTTTTCAGTTTTATTATAATGACTATATTATCCTAAAGAAAGTTCCTATCAATTTTTCTGGAAGGAGTAGGACCAATTTTTTCTGTATTAATGTTTCACTCACATTGTCAAAAATCTAAAAATTGACAAAATCCTATTGGATAATTTGTCGTTTCAGGATGGAACTCCTTATGCTGGAGGGTTATTTTTCTTGCGGATAATGATTCCAAGTGATTATCCTTTAAAACCACCAAAGGTAAGTTTGTTTATTCTATAATTGTTTTCATTAGATTATACTTTGTATGAAGTCAATATGATAGAAAAAAAGATCCGGTGTCCACGCTTCGCTTATGTAAAGTAGTCTCAGACTATCATAGTGTAGTCTCAGATCAAAGTGAATGAGGCAAAAAAAGTGAAAAAATACAAAATTATATAAAAAATTAAAATAAGCATATATCAGTAAAGGATTTGCTTAGAGATAAAAGCACTGCATATAAAAATATAAAAAGGGCAACCTTTGTTACAACAGCGCACTCCTTTAGTGTTACAATAAACATGTACTGTGAAATTTATAAACTTTAAACTAAGTTGCGCTTTAAGTAATATTTCTATAGTCAAGTAATATTTCCATACTTACATTTCTATTATTTGCAGGTAAAATTTACAACTAAGATTTACCATCCAAACATAAATGGAAGCTCAGGAGAAATATGTTTAGGCGTACTTAAGTCAAATTGGGCACCATCTTTAGACATACGTAAACGTAAGATGTAGCTTTAAGTTTCAACATGTCAGGTAGAATGCTACTACATTGTAAATGAAAATAAGGATATGCTGTATGATTGCCATTGAGACAACTTTATCCAAGAATACCAAGGACAAAGATGTGACCTATTAAATATCACCTTTAACAGTCCATTAGGTTTCAATATGTCCAACGTATATATATATATATATATATATGAGGGTCTAAATGGGGTTTACAGTATTGAGAATAATGGGGGAAAATACAGAATAATTGTCAAAAAAATTTAAAAACGGAGAAAAATGGACCTAAAATTATAAAGAATAGAGAATAACGGGGTGTCAAAATAAAAGAATAGAGAAAATTTTGTAGAAAAAAGAAATTAATAACCCCAATCCAGACCCTCATATATATATATTATAACACAAAAAGGTTGATGACTAGGTGGACTAACCGGTTTAGAAAACAATATATACCAGGGTAACAGAGTGGTAGTCTCTAATGGAGCAGGAAATACTGACTGACCCTTTAGGGCACCTAAGTTCACATACTTTATTTTTACGTGTGGCATAACAACCAAATCTCTGGCTTTTACTGGGAATACATATGTAATACAACTGCACAAGCGCGTGGCTTTTACTGTGAATACATATGTAAAAAAAATACACAAGCGTGTGGCTTTTACTGGAAATACACATGTAATACAACTACTCGAGCGCGTGGTTTTTACTGGGAATACATTTGTAATGCAACTACACAAGCGTGTGGCTTTCACTGGGAATACATATGTAATTCAAGTACACAAGAGTTGGTGTTTACTGGGAATACAAATCTAATACAACTACACAAATGCGTGGCTTTTACTGGGAATATAATATGTAATGCAACTACACAAGTTCATGGTTTTTACTGGGAACACACATGTAATACAACTACACAAGCGCGAGGCTTTTATCATTAGGAAAATATATGTTATATAACTTCACAAGCGTGTGGCTTTAACTGGGAATACTTATGTAATACGTGTGGCTTTTACAGGAAATACATATGTAATACAACTACCATGACAAGGGCGTGGCTTTTACTGGGAATACATATGTAATACAACTACATATTCGCATGGTTTTAACTGGGAATACATATGTAATACGTGTGGCTTTTACTGGGAATACATATTGAATACAACTACCGTGACAAGTGCGTGACTTCTACTGGGAATACATCTGATATAAAACTACACAAGCGTGGGTCTTTTACTGGAAATACATATGTAATACAACACCACAAACGAATGGCTTTTATTGGGAATACATATGTAATACAACTACACAAGAGTGTGGCTTAAATGTGGGGAATATATGTAATACAGCTACACAAGGTGAAGCGTGTGAATTTTTACTGGGAATACATATGTAATAAAACTACACAAGAGCGTGACTTTTATTGAGAATACATTTGTAAATTCAACTACACAAGCGTGTGTAATGCATTTGCTCTATTTTTTATGATTTGTTTTTTCTATTACAGTGTTACTAAATATAATATCACTATTAAGTTGTCCAGATCCTGATGATCCACTTGAACCAGATGCTGCAAAACTATATGAATCAGATAGGACACAATACGATAAAACAGCGAAGGAATGGACACGAAAATATGCCATGTAACGTGGTTAACTGGGATGTTACATGTAACATTTTCATTAAATTGTGTACTACGATACTTTGACATATCTAACTTTTCATTTTAGTATGTTTTACATTAAAATGTCATTATTGCGTGGCTGAAATTTATATTAACTTGCACTAAGTTGATTTATATGTTGAAATAATTATACTTGTTGTGAAGATTGTAATGAAATAACTCTTGTAAGCATATGATACATCTATATCAACAACATTGGTTTTTGTTCTTGTTTGTGGTCCGTCAAAGGACATGAATAAATTTTATATTTTCTTGCCTTCTTTTCATTTGTAGGTTATTCAGTGTTGGTAATTTTTGGTATTATTGACTGCAGATCACAGTAGAACAAAGAAAGGTTCATATTAAGATCCCATTAGTATGTTATGCATGTAATGTTTCCCACTGGACGTTTAACACCAATCCACCATCATTATCTAATTAAAAAGTATGAACGCACTTCCTTAAATGTCACTGGAATGATACTTCTCACGTTATTTTGAGACATTTGTTTTTATACGACCGCAGAAAAATTTGCGTTCGTATATGGCTATCATGTTGTCCTCATCGTTGTCCGAAGACATTTGGTTTCTGGACAATAACTTAAGCATAAGTTAATGGATCTCTATGAAATTTAACTGCAAGATTCAATAGCACAAAAGAAAAGTTGGGATTGATTTTGGGGGTTATGGTTCCAACTGTTTAGGAATAAGAGGTCAAAAAGGGGCCAAAAAAGGCATTTTTCTAGTTTCCGGACACTTGTTTATAAATTGTGAAATTGTACCATAAGGTTCCATACCACAAAGGGAAGGTTGGGAATGACTTTCGGGGTTAAGGCCCAAACCATTCAGGAATTAGGGGCAAAAAAAGGGGGGAAAAAAAGGTTTTTCTGGTTAATGGACAATTACTTAGGTATTAGTCTATGGATCTCTATGAAATTGAAACACAAGGTTCCATACCAAAAAGAGAAGGTAGGGTTTGACTTTGGGGGTTATGGCTCAAACCGTTCAGGAATAAGGGACAAAGAGGAACAAGGTGTTTCTGGTTTCCGGACAAATTCTTAAGTATTGGTCAATGGATCTCTATGAAAATGTACCACACGGTTCCATACCACACACACAAGGTTTGGGTCAATTTTGTGGGTTGTGGCTTTAATCGTTAAGAAACTAGAGGCCAAATAGGGCCAAAAACAAGACTTTTCTAATACTGGCTAAGCTGGTTCTAACATAAATTATTTCTGATCTATATAAAGAAACAACAAATACTGATATGGCAGGAGATACACACCAAACAGGGTGTGTTAATTATTTGTCCCCTACTGATGAAGTCAAAAGGGGACTTTAGGTTTGCACTCCGTCTGTCTGTCCGTCCGTCCGTCCGTCCGTTCGTTTGTCAGTCTGTCCGTTCGTCCGTCCGTCAGTCTGGCAAATCAGTTTTCCACATTTTTTTTCTAAGTGCTTGAAGATATTGATTTGATATTTGGTATACTGGTATATTTTGGTATATCATGACAGGTTACAGATAAAGTTCGAATTTTGTTCCGGTCTGATGATTTTGTGCAGAGTTATGGTCCTTGGACTTAGAAAATTCACTTAAGTAATCAGTTTTCCACACTTTTTTTCGTCATGCTTGAAGATATTGACTTGATGTTTGTTATAAAGTTTACACCATGACAAGTTATAGATCAAGTTAGCATTTTGTTCCAGTACAATGAATTTTTAACCGCTAGGGGACTATGTATTGCCATACTAGCTCTCAGAATGCTTGTTATATTTAGTTTGTAAACAGATTTACTAAGTATTGCGCAACAGCAAAGTATTGCACAACAGCAAGAAATCTTCAATTGAAAATAAATACAAATCTTTTAACCAATTTCAATGAGGATTTTTAAGTTATCTGACCACATTTATTCTGTGTCAGAAATCTTTTATGTGTCAAATATTTAATCACTATCCTAATTCAGAGCTGTATCAAGCTTGAATATTGTGTCAATACTTGCCCCAACTGCTCAGAGTTCGACCTCCGCGGTCGTATCCAACTGCTCCAGGCGGAGCACATTTTTATTATACTTCATGTCAAAATGCCAAATTTTGATTGGTTAATACGATGGAGATAATTTACTCTATCACATGGCAAATACTCTGTTACCCCTCAAGGAGACGCTTGATCAAGTGTGCCCTTTATTCAAAATGGAGGTTGTTATGTACAAGACGTCATAGTTTATTACTTTGAATTTGAACTTTAATAGACAGCAATAACAGAGCATTCAGTATACTAAATTAAATAACACATATCTGAGAGGGCGATAGAGCAGATTGTTACCCCTCGAAACGACATTGTCAACCTTGGCTTCACCTCAGTTGACAATGTTTTCTCGGGGTAACAATCTGCTATATCACCCTCCTCTATGTGTTATTTATGTAATGTTTGTATTACCTTATCATTGAAGTTATTATTTACGCATACTTCATCTTATTGGGCTATGACTACTGGACCATACGATTGGTGTCACATGCAATACCTGTTATAATATATGGAGCAATTGATCACAATCTTGGTTATGACGAGATTTTAATTTGTACTGCCAAAAGTTTTTGTTAACTATTTGTATTATAATATATCACTTTGAACCTAATAACAGAATCAAATCTATAATCGTGCATGGCAAATATACTAATACCAAAAAAAAAACGTCAATATGCGGTCTTACTCAGAATGAAACTTATTTTAAAAATTTATTGGCGTTTAACGTCCATCGGCAGATATTACATGTATATTCCGGAGGACGAAAACATTAATGTCAAGTGAATCTAGCCCAACATATTGAGTATGTTTAATTTTTAACGTGCTGGCTTACAAGGTAACAGGAAGAAATGTTACCCCTAGAATATATACTTATGATAAAAAAAAAAATACTTGTTTTTCAAATCTGTTTCTTCTATATATTATTTATCATTAAAAGAAATTGGAGACATGTAGGAAACGTCAGAATTTAATCTTCGAAAAACACCTTACTTGTTGAATCTGTTGGTATTTTTAACACCATAGTTTAAAAATGTGACTACCAACTACCTAAGAGCATGCATGAGGAGTGATTCATCCCATAGGAACAATAGCTTTCAAAATTTACCGTAAATTTCAATAATGATATCTGTTTTACATAATTTATTGACTGCTAAAACATAGGGTTTAGTTTCGTTTGACATTTCATGTGACGTGATAATACATCTATCAAGTTACGTCAATGGCCAGGGTGGCTTTTTATTTTTAATTTATATGACATCTTAATAAGAGAGGTTGGACAGAGGTGTGTATGTGCGTGTGTGTGTGTGGTGGGGGGGGGGGGGGGTCCCTGATTACCACTTTCCTCCCTTACTCCGAATTCTGCTACCCCTTATTCCCAGACAAAAATCGGTAACTTTTTTTAGCATTTCCTTATTTTTTTGACTCCCCCTATTCTCCCCGTTCCCGCCCCCTGACCCGTTTTGTCGTGCATTATGTACAGTTTTCAATTCTTAAAAAGACTGGTAGGTTGTAGTGAAGCAATAATCCAAAAAAATATGGATAAAACTACTAGGCGGTCAGAGTTTGATTTCACTCTGAAAACATCTTTTAGATGACTGATCTGAATAAATTTGTTGATCATTCAATATTCGTCTACTTGGCAATTCTTGACACCAAAACTGAAATATTTTGTAAGTGACTATCAATAAGACATGTTCGCCGAATGATTCATTCAAAGGATACTGTAATTTTACAAAATCTAGTGTAAAATTTGATAATGACATCTTTTTAACATAATTTATTGTTTGCTAAAACATATGATTAAGTCTTAAATTGACATTTTTATTTAGTTGGTGTTATTACTATACAGTTTTATGCAAATAGGCGGATGGATAGCTGAACATTGAACATTGCAAATAAGTACTTCGCCAAGGTTAAACAGCTTCCAATTAACCAAGCAAACGAGATGAAAACTGAGTTTTCACGACTTGCAAATATTTTGTACTTCACAATTTTGCGTTTAACTTTTACATTATAATTAATTTATGCGTATTAATTCCAAACGAGGAGGTTTGAAAAGAGCAATTATTTAGCCCCAGAAATTGCAAAAATTGTAAAATTATTTAAGCCTTTCAAAAGTATTAGAGAATGTGGACAAAATATCTACAACCCTAGCTTTTCATCTCCAGACTTCGTGTGCATTCAAAGCAGGCAGTCTTTTTTTTCATTTTTTTCATTTTGTTGTGTATGTTTTGCATATATATATTATAAAAATTAAAACAAAAACTGTTGTCGCAATTGTTTTTAATCTTACTGGTCCATATTAAAAAAAACCAACAACTCATGATTGTTCATCTGTTGAAGAATGATCTTGACTTTACTTTATCCAAACTCTGCAGAAACATATTGTTAACTCACAATGTTCAATAGTGCATTTCTCTTACCTTAAAATTAATCGACCTTGTTAATTTCAGTTCTTTATATACAAGGCAAAAATAATTCATTCTTGTCTTATGCTTTTAGTTTGTAAGTTTATTGCAATAGGCCGTCAGCTTTTCTTCGACTTTTGAATGTCCCCATGCAGTAGCGGATCCAGAAATTTTTATAAAAGGGGGGGGGGGGGGGGGGGGGACTGCCATAAGAGGGGGCCCACTTTGTCATGCTTCAGTGATTCCCTATTTAATCAACCAAATTTTTCCCACAAAAGAGGGGCCCGGGCATCCTGCCCCCCTAAATTCGCCTCTGCCATGGTATCTTCCACCTCTTTTTTTGCTCAACCCTGTTCAAAAGTGTCATTGAACGGTATTTTACTTCTATTAAAGAGAATGCTTACCAATTAGCCTGTTTTCACTATTTTACATATTTGACCTACAATCAATGCAGATATGATCTTACATTTCCAAAACCATCTTCAACAAAACACCTGTAAATAGTGTTCATAATTTATTAACTGTTTATCTACTGAATTTGCATGAAATATTTGCCACTGGACATTAAGCAAGCAACAATTAAACTACCGAGGTAAAGACAATAACTAGATACTTTGTGTTGCTTTAATCATTGTCATGTGCTTATCTCTAGTTGAAATATTCAGAATGTCAACTGATAGGATCTAAAAAGGTGAAATCACGATATCTTTTTTCTGACTGCCATTAGAATTATTGTTTGCTTAACGTCCAGTGACAAATATTGCATTCATATTTATGAAAAAGAACAGTTAACAATTATCCAATTTGGTAGGTTAAAAAAATGATAAATCGAGAGAAGAATGA